ACCCATTAAAAACCTAATAAGCTAATATACATGCACTAAGAAACCTAGTTTGTATAAATTCCTCCTAGTTCCTGATTTAACTTTCTAGGTCAACTAGACAAAAATTCATGCTTTATATTTCGAATGGTATATTCTCAGTTTATAAATATTGCACTCTTCATAAACATGTTAGTTTTTGAGCTATTCAGTATTTAGTACATTTTAGCTTCATGAATATTGACTTGATAGTAGACTAAGCACCAAGTTGGACTAGGGTTCTGCGTACCCTCAACATCCAAGAACTACGTGCCAACATAGGCTTAGAAGTTGCCTATGTTAGGCATTAGATTTTTTAGTGATCACACCATAATCATGACTTTATACCCTTGCCCTGGTATATTGGCTCTGCTCGATGGGGCGTATACATCGAACTCCACGTTTAGCTCACATGGTTTATGTCGCTTAAAAGTATCTCAAAGAATTAGACTCTTACTGCATTGACGTATATAGTTCAATATATTACCTTCATGATTAATACTTGGTCATTGCATCTAGTTTAGTTTTCAGATATACTTTAGTAAAAATATATTTATCCTAGTTCTGATTATATCATTGCTCAGCTATGCATTGTTCAACTTATATTCTTTGTTTAACTTTTGCATATCTATATTTTGCATGCTCAGTATATGATGTAGGTTCAGACACTCATCTTCCAAATTACGCTTAGATAGATTCTCTATTCGACTTCAAAAACTTTAGTGGTGAGTCCTATTGAAGAAAATACACATGCTTTCTGTTTTGGTCATTACTTTGACTTTTCTCTATTTTTAGAGTTAGCTGGGGGCATGTACCAGCAACTCAACTCAATTGGAGGATTTCCTGGCATCGTTGTAGATTTAACTCAAGTTTATAAGTGTTGTTTCAGTCATCAGTAAACTCTTATAATTATATTTACTTTCAGAGTAGTTGGAGTTTTGCCCATTTTATATATACACTATGTTTAGATTTTGTATAGTATATGATTTACTTAGATATATTTTAAGCATGCTAGATATATGTGAGACACATGGTTAACTTGGGGTCACTTGTGATCCTAGGTCCCATGTTACATCTAGGGGTAGCCTTGGGGAGTGACAGGTAAGATGCACTATTTTGTTGGTTTTAAAGTGGTGCAATGTAATGCTGAGATATTGTTTCTCAAAATAAGTATGTGCGAGAAATTTTAAACAAGTTTAAGGTGTATATTGCAATTCAACCAACATTCCAGTTGAGTTTGGCTTCAAAATAAGCAACGTTGTTGTTGAAAGAAGGTAGACAGCACGACTTACATGCTCATTGTTCGTATTTTAATGTATGTAGTTGCTACAAGTCCACCATCATGTATGTTATTAGTCTTTTAAGTAGATATATGGAGTGACAAACAAAAATGAACCTCTAACAGCGAAGAGAATTCTCTGTTACTTGCAAGCAACAAAGGATTTTGGAATTTTCTATAGGTAAGGAGAAATTTCAGATTTATCTGACTTTACTAATAATAATTATGCAGGGAATCAAGATGATAGAAAGATCACTTCATGCTATATTCTTCTACTAGGAACAAAGGTTGTGTCGTGGTCCTCCAAAAAGCAAACAATTGTCACATTATCAAGTACAGAAGTAAAATTTATTGCTACAAAAGCTTGTGCTTGTCAAGGTGTAATGCTTAGGACCAGGGCCATCTCAACCATAATTGTGCTAAAGTAATCTCTTGGGGACAACATTTTCTCTCAAAGATGCATATCATGGATTAATAAATTTGAAGAAAAAAATTGTATAGAAGTTATAATTGAGAAAATGAATATTGTGTAGTTGATTGTAGTATCTTTGTTAGATTATTATGTGACTAGTTAATTCTAGTATCATTTCTAATTTCTTATGTGGATATATATTTTATTGTCTAGCTCATTTATATTTTGAAGATTATCATGAACCAACAATATTGTGTTCTTATATTTACTTCTATTTATTCTCCTTTCACTATTTTTTATTCTTTCATTGTTGAATAATTGTGAAGTCTCTCAAATGTTAGACAATTCTACATTATGTAAAGTATATTGTTATGCAATTTTATAAGGGAAAAATCATAAGTATCCCCCTAGATTATGGAAGAAATTATAGAGACACACATTAACTAATCTAAGGGCCTATTACCCCTCATGAACTTGTTTTTTTTTTTTTTAATTTTGTGCACCTTTTTGGCTTACGTGGCATCCAAATATCTCCCACATGCATCAGCTGCGTGGAGTCACGGAATGTGTCATGTAAGACAAAAGGTGTATAAAATTACCCAGAAAAGAAGTTCAGGGGGTAGTAGGACCCTAGTTTAGTTAAGGTGTGTCTCTGAAATTTCGGTCATAGTCTAGAGGGGTACTTGTGCATTTTCCCGTTTATAAAAAAAATCAAATTTGTTTGGTGTCATATTCAAATTTCATGTTTTATTATTCTAACTTTACATAACATAATTTTGATTGAAAATTTATATCATTTGCATTCTTACTTCATAATGTTTACACATATCTAATCTCTCCAAACCTCATTTGTATGACTACACTGAGTATGTTATAATTATTCAATTTATATTTTTCAACTAAAAATAATAGGGTCTCTTTATAAGATTTGGATTTAGGCCTCTATATTTGTCGAGACGGGCTTGACTTAGGAGAATCCTTTTTGAGTTGCAGTTCAAGACGGGAAAAGAATCTACACTGTTTTGTGACCAAAATTCTGCCATCAAGTTGTCAAAGAATCTATGAACCATGAAAAAAGAAAACACATTGAAGTGAAATATTATTTTTTACGAGACCTCACTAATGAAGGAACATTAGAGTTGCAATACTGCCGAAGTGAAGATCAATTGGTGGACATTTTTCACAAAGCCTCTCAGATTTGTACATTTTCAAAAGTTGAGGAGGTTGATAGGTATTAACACAATGGAAGAGTTGAAGTAGCTAAAGTTAACCTGAAGCTTTAGAGCTTTTAGTCTAAGGGAGAATGTTAATAAATAAAGTCTTGTTACAGCTTTGTCGTAGTCTTTAGGAGAGTAGTTATCATGGATTTGTTTACTATTTTTTAGGATTAGTATTTTTTATGGTTCCTACTTTCTTGATTAATGTTGTTATATATTTATGCCAATAAAATCTATACCTGCGAGTACAAAATATTGTTAGAAAAGGAGTTCCTATTATTTTCAGCGTATTGACTCTTTTCTCCATTTTTTGGTTTCTTAAAATTCTTCTTTGTTGTGGATATGTTTACGACCCATCCTCGCTAGTCACAAATAACTAATAGAAGCTATGGAAAGAGTCGAATAGGAAAGACAATCTAGCAAATAAAAAAACGACCATGAAGGTCATAACAATTATTTTTTTCGTACTCTTTATTCACCACCCTACAACTCAATTTGTCTAGAAACTAACAAAATCAATAGTTATAAAAAAAACTATAAATTTCTTCATATAGGATTTTTCTAAATAATAGTAAAATCATTATATAGATTGAATTCATATGTATCCATATGTATTTTGTTAAGAGACAATAGGTTATTAAATTTTTATGATTCTTTATTATAAGTAGTATAAAGTAACCTTGCCAATAGCCTAGTATACCTTAATTGCTATCCGAACTATTCAATCAATATTAATGATCCAAACATAATTGATACATTAACATTAAATGTTAAAATTAAAAATATAAATAGTAAGGATACTACTGGGAAATTAGTCATAATATACGGAACCAAGACATATGAGAACATCTAAACTCAATCTATATCATGGTTTGACTGCTACCTAGACAATTCTTATGTGAAAAAATTATAATGGGGGAACTGTAGACTCAACTACTTTATTATTTTTAGTAGTACACCATTTGTTAATAAGCATGTTTAACTACTCCTTTTGGTCATGTAATTTTCATGTGTATTCAAACCATTTAAAAATTTCTATGTTACATTTTTATCTTTTTATATCACTAAGTCATTTATTTCTAAAGGTTAATCTTTCTGATAAAGAGTATCTTTGTACATACCATTGTTTTTAATAGAATTTCCTTGACTTTTCCAAAGTTTATCTAAATATTTTATATCTGGTTCAAAAGGTTCATCTAATGTAATCATGCATAAAACATCCTTTATTTCTTTACTAGTAGTGGGATTAGTAGACTTTATCGGTTTAGAATTTTTAATTTCATATTCTACTTTGGGAATAGTTTCTTAGAATTCTACCCCTTTAACATTTAATCTATCACTTCTTAGGATATTTCCTCCTTCTCCTTTGTTATGAATATGATGGTCTAGAAATGAAATTCTTTTACTTGAAGAGATTTTATCATAAGAATGGGATTTTACAAATTTTAAATCTATGGACCCATCAGGAAATTGAATTACTTGATCAATATATGGATTCTCTTCTTTCATTTATGGCTCTGTTATGGAGTCAAAATGTCAATCATCTTTTGTTAATGTGTCATCCCATTTTATTATTTTTGGGGCAAAGGTACTATTATGGTTATGATTTGCTTCTATGAGCATGGTAACTCCTTTATTACTTACTATTTTAGCCCTAGGGGATAAGGTAGTTTTCATTAGTCTATAATATACCCTATATATTATGGCTATTTCTTTAGTATTATCTTTAATGTTCATATTTTTAGTTTTTAACATTTAAAGTTAATGGATCAATTATATTTTGATCATTATTATCTATTGAGTATGAGGGTAACAGTTAAAGAATGTCGAGTCATTGGCAAGGTTACTTTGTAGTACTGTTAATAATGATTCATCGAACAGTATAAGATATTGTCTCTTATTATGTATTACCAAATTTCAAGATGATTTAATAAATAAATAATTATTATACTAGAAAAAATTATTATAAGAAACCATCATTTTCGAAAATGCAATACGAAGAAATGAGTTTCTATCTCATACTTCGCATTCGAGAAGAGAAATAGCTCAAGAGAACTTTCTTTTCGGATATGCAGTATGAAGAAAACTTTTGGATTAATTACATAAACAAAATGTAAGTCTAAAAAGATTTCTTTCAGATAACACATCTGAAAAGCAGAAAGGACAATATCAAAATTCCAAAAATCCAGTGATATTAGTGACAATCCTCTAGAACATTGAAGTATAAAAACATGTACTACATAGTCTATGAAAAGGAAAGATAGGAAAAGAGCATAAGCATAAGAGAATTTTGGAAAGCAGTGTAACAACCAAGCAACTACCTCAAAATTTTGAGTACTCTGCTAGCAACGAAGACCACCAACTACCTATTCCCGGCTCAGAATCTACACAATGAAGGTGCAGAAAAGGTAACGTTATAATACATAAACATGTACATGTACTCAACGTCATCGACAAACCCTAACATGAGTTTATGACACGGGTTTGTTTTATAATGACTTGTTTAGTAATAAATCAAGTATTTTAATACACTTATTTATAGATCAAGACGATAAACTCAAAATAATATTGTATCAGTTCAAGAAAACATCGAAATAAAGGTCAAGCTATGGATTGTTAATAAACCAAGTCCATCACCACTTAATCACTTATGAACTTATATTAGTACACCTGATCTTGGTTGTATATACGCATCTAATCACTATATTTTATCCATGATCTAGCTAAGTTCTGAGTATAATCTTATAAATGTAGATGTGTTCATTGTATATTTGTTGTGATAATCTTATAGACATGATTAAATTGATTTTAGGCCAAAACAACAAGTAAGGACCTAAAAGATGGATTGAAATGCAAAGAAATGTGTCCCACGCACTAAAACATAGACAAAGTGGATGCAAGAATGTAGTTCGCAGCAAAGGTACACCTCGCTATGAGCCCATGTTGCACCTATTATGATATAAAATTTTGAAACTAAAAATTTATGCGTGAATTTATTATGTATGAAGGAGGAAGGAGTCCAAAATGAACTTTGTAGTGTGCCCATTGGGATATGTGATCGGGTCCACGCCACGACCCTCTAGTTTCATGGACAGATATGACCAAATCAAAGTATAGTTCAATTGAATTATGAATTCAACCTTACTACTACAAATAAGTTATTAAGATGACATTTTAGGATTACACATTATTTTTAAAGGTTATAAATCATTTTTTAGGGTTAGAGATTATTCATAATACAGAATATTCATTATTCTTACCTTTTAAGGGTTCAATTATTGTTTTCTAACTATTGTGGAATGGACAAGATTCTCTTGCAAGAGCCATATTAATCAAATGTTTTATTTACTTTCTTTTATCATGTTCTTTAATAGTTTAAATTACTTTAGTTATTATATGCAACTAGTTATGAGTAGGGTTATGGATCTTAGAGCTTGTCTGACATCGATGCTAAAAACTGATTATTTTCATAAGCACTTTTTTAAAATAGCTATTCAGAGAAGTGTTTTTGAAAAAAATAATAATTTATGTTTGGCTAATTCATTTCAAAAGTATTTTTATAAGAAAATTTTGTTTGACTAATCTGTTTCTAAAAGTGTTTTTAGAGTCAAATTACATCTAAGGACAAGTATCAGTGTATTTTTAATATTATGATTATTTTATAGAGAACAAAAAAGTTTAAACATCTATTAAAAGAAATTAAATTTAATGTTCATTTTTATTAAATTAAAATGTTCATATTCAATTTTTCAGTCAATATTATACATTTTTTAAAGGGTTGAAATATTTAAATGATATTATTTTTCTCTTTTTCTATTTTTACAAAAAAGTTGTTACCTTCTTCTTATTTTCTAATTCTTTAAGATAATAATAAAAATAATAATACACAAACATAAAATAAAATATATAATTCACTATATAAAAATAAAAGATAAAATTATTAAACGGAACTTAACCATAAATATACATACATACATACATGTACATATACATATATATACTCCCGAACTATTCTAAATGATATTTAAATACCTTTCGTTATACTTTTGGGACACCAATGCCCTTATCGTTCAAAATTTGGGTTTTGTATATCCTTTGAAATAAAAGAGATACACGTGTCATAATCTAAAAAACCTTTCAAACAAAAAAAATAATTCTGCATAATTTAAAAGTTCACCCAAGACCCACCGAAACAAGTATAACCCCAAAAAAAACAAAAAGACCCACACCCAGATAAACTCATTTTCCCTTTGTTCATTATTCAACCATCGAAACACCCCCAAGAAATAGTTCAACACAGAAACTCCAACACAAAATTCTTATCCGACGAAAGTTCCAAAAAAAACGGCCAATACCTAATTTTAACTGAATCCTCTCCCCCTAATTATATATGTTCTTCTCTTATGTAATTGATAAGCCTGAAGAAGGTAGCACAAAAGTGAGACAATAATAACATGTTTGATTTCAAGAAGGATAAGAAGATGGATAAAGGAGAAAGTGACTTATTCATTTATTTTGATCTCTTTAGATGTTAGTGACATATTTTGATTACTACATCATCACCAGCTACTAAAAATTGACAACACCCAATTGTTTATAATTTCTACATTTACTAAGGAAAAAAATATATAACTTTTGTGATTATAAATCCATTTGAAGTTTGTTGGTTCAGTTCGTACTTCGTCGGTGAGATTGGGATACCGATGAAGGAGAGACGAGTTCAAGATGACCATGTTTTATGTTGGCCGAAGGGTCATTGCGTCACTGATTAGCTGGAGCAAGGAATACTGAGTTAGTTAGCGATAAGAAGTGATTGGGTTTGTGGAGCGAGGGAGGCTGAGTTTAGTTGCAATAAGAAGAGATTTGGTTTGTGAAACTTCGTCAAAAAAGATGAGTTGCGGCCGTGTGTTAAGTTCCGGCGAGGAGGTGGTAATTGGTTGTAGTTGGTTGATGGAACAATGAAGAAAAGACAAATGGAGTTTTTTCGGATTGGGTCTTTTGGGTTTTTTCTCTGGTTATAATGTCTGGTTCATTTTTTGTGGGCTTTTCTGTTATGAATTAAAAATAAAATAAATTTTGTATAGACCGTTGATATTATGACACATATCTCTCTGTTAAATTTTGGGTTACTATTCTTTGACATTGACCACTTTATCCCAATTGAGGGTGTAGTTTGGGCGACATTAAAATTTTAGCACCTTTGTCATGGAGTGTAGTTACGAGATTTATAGTTTGTAGAAATTTATTAAGTAGTTGCTATTTTTTATATTACATACTAGAACACATATAATATGCTAGAACACACAAACTTACTTGAACTTAATACAAAAATTACCTCTTGAAGCATGAGGACAAACCTTGAAGCGAATATACAAGATAGACAATAACTATCGTTTCCACAATGATACAAAGTTCACATCTGAACTCTCTCATTGGGTGAGAAAGTATTAATATAAACCTTCAATCTTTCTAAGAATCCCTAATTATAGAGGTTTCTTCCTAATTGAAAGAGGAGAACCAAAACACACCATAATTTTTGCCAACCGAAAAATACACGCTAGTTTTCTTTCTAACAGAAAACTAATATCTCTCCCCTTTTCCCTCTAGAATTAGGGTTCTGAGTTTATTTAAATATGTGCACTATAGGAACCACATAATTAATTATTGAGGGTGCCACCACAAGAAAGAACTTCCTTTTAAATTTATTCATTTCTAAAACTATCATTCATCTTTCATAAAAAGATGTGACTTTTATGAAGAGTTGTGACTTTTATGAAAAGTTTTATTATTTATGAAAAGTTGTAACTTTAATAAAGAGTTGTGACTTTATGAAAAGTTGTGACTTTTATGAAATGTTTTTAAGCAATTTTATGAAAATTAGTGACTTAAATGAACGTTTGTGAACGTTCCGAAAGGTTGTAGCTTTACCAAATAGTTGTAACATTTCTGATAAGGCACAATAAACAGTTGTTCACACTAACCTTTGTTGTCTATAAATAGAGAGATTTCTTTTCCTTTCATTTTAAAACAACAAAAATTATGATATTCTTCTTCTACATCCGGAAAATTAAATATTCATGTACTTTGCTCCTGTTGAATGACTTACTGACACCATTGTTTTTTTACCAATATGTTGGTGAATAAAAATTTTTATCGTGAGAGGATGTAATTCTTTAAACCTCTGGTTTTTAAGGTGAATAGTTTTTCTAATGCGACATTGTGCATTGAGTTGACTAAATTTTTTCCTTTCTATTTCATTCTATTTTTACATATCTTGGTATGTTTTCTTACACTCATTAATTTATGCTTATAATATTAATTGTTGTTTTTGAGTACATATTTTAAACTCTTCTTTTATGTTTCTGCAAAATTATTGTCACTAGTTATTTTAACATATACGCATATAGTATGTATATTCATTGTGCAAAAAATAATTATTGTACTCAGTTCTAAGAATTTATATTTTGATACTATTTTAAATTTTATAACTTGAGTTTAGTGTATATAAGCTTATATATTGTCTATTTTTACATACATGTGAAATTTCTCACTTATATTCTAAAACTTAAATGTTCTATATATTACAAATTGCCTTTGTATATATATTCTTATTTTCTTTTTTTTCTTTAAATATTGATTAAAGAACCAACAATTTATTATTTTGTGAATAATTCATTCATTAAAATTTCTTGAGTTATGTGATAATGACAAATAATCGAATTCATATTGGAATATTGCTAATATTTTTTAAAAAACCTATTTTTCTATTATTTTTAATATATGGATATTAATAATAAAAATTAATTTCAAAGTCAATGCAATTATTGTTTATATAAAAATACGACATATTTATTAAAATGGTTGTTTTAAGTTGGGAGTACTACAGTAATTTAACATTTAAGCTGGTGAGTCCATGCTTTTTAAGTTATATTGAGTTGTAATAATTTTGTTTATAATTATAATTTATGTGATTAAAATCAACTATACATTGAAAACAAATATTTTAAACTAAGTTAAGAAATCAAGTGTATCCCACATTATCATAATTTGTAATCAATATTCATTAATTTAGTTTAATGAAAGAGAGAACTCTCACACCATGAATCAACAAACAATCCTTTTTGTACTTATCATGAGTCCAATTTGTTCATGTAGCTTAAGCTTAAGGTTCCCCATCACTACATCGGTGAAATTGATGGATTCCTAATGACAGTTAGTTCTTCCAAGAGACACTTGCCTATTTCATAAATAAATCTTCAATTTTCTTTACCATTTCCTTTTTCTTTGGGGGTTGAGGTTCCTCGTCTTCAAACTAGAATATTCAAGGAAGTGTTTCTTTGACTAAAATATGTTCCTTTTCTTCTGGAGGAGTGAGTTTATTATGATCATTGTAGTCCTTTATACGAGGATTAACACTCCCGTAATCAAACCCCACCTCATTTGACTCCTCTTCATCACATTCCTCTTCATAAAACTCCTCAACATTCTTATTCACTGACTTGTCCATAGAACGTGGTCGAAGAAGTATGTTTGGTCTTTGTTGTGGTTTTCACCCTCAACAACAAGTTGAGGTACAATAACTACATTAGGGCCACTTTCATCCTCCAAACTGTGAGATATTTTCTCACAACTTCCTGGAATAAACTTTCTCCACTTGTCACCTCTAGAAAGCTCCCATTCTTCATTTCCTTCCTACCTCTCCAATATTCTCGACAACTTCACAGTCCTCTTCAGACTCCACATCATCACTTCGAAGAATCGGGACTTTGTTCTTTTAACCCTCAATAGTAAGTGTAAGACTGCCCAATGGGATATCCATATGAAAGGCCATTTCTCATGAGTCCCATTGTCCACACATTCATTTTTCATAGCCCCATTCACAAGTAGTGTATCTCAATGCGATAATGGGACGTTTACAATTTTGAAAAACCATCATGAAACAAAGTCATCCCTTGAATTCGTGTGAATATGCACCCGAGTCAAATTACACAATCATTATTACACTAATAATTTATCAGAAAATAATTCAGTTTGTCTTAAACTTCCAAAATGACAAATACCTTTTTATTTGGAAGTCAAAGATGAAATTGATTATTTTATGATAAATTCATAGTATACTAATGATTGTGAAATTCGACTTAGGTGCATATTTATGGATTCAGAAGATGGTTTTGTTTCAAAATGGTTTTGTCGAAATTGTAAGAGTCCCATTACAAAATTGGTTACACAACTTGTGAATGTGGGTGTGAAATATGGGTGGACGATGCGACTCACGAGAAATGGCCTTTCTTTGGGGATATCCATTGGAGAGTCCTCCACTTACAGTCCGGGGTGAAAACAATAAAATTTTGATTCTTTTAAGTGATTACGATGAGTCTAAAGAGCACTGTGAAGTTGGTGAGGATATTGGAGAGGTCGGAAGGAAAAGAAGAATGGTGGAACGTTCTAGAGGTAACAAGAGGAGGAAGTTCATTCCAGGAACTTGTGAGGAAATATGTGATAGTTTGGAAGAGGAGAATGATCATGATGTAGTAATTTTACCTCACCTTGTTATTGAGGATGAAAACCACGACAAATACTGAATATATCTTCTTCGGCTACGCTCTATGGACATGTCTAAGAATAAGAATTATAAGGAGTTTAGTGAGGAGGACTCCTCCATAATAGAATGAAAATGTTTCTGTCAACGAAACACTTCATTTAATATTTTTGTTTGAAGAAGAGGAACCTCTTCATCCAAAGAAATAATAATGGCAAAAGAAAATTCCAAAACCTTTTTCTAAAATTGGCATGTGTCTCTTGCAAGAACTAATTGGCTTTACGAATCCAGCAGGTATGCTAATACAGAATGAAAAAGTAAGTGACTGTCAGGTGGGGAACCATAAGCTTAACCTAGATGAACATATTGAACTCTTCGCAATAATTTCTAAAATCCTACTAAGTGTATGAAATTATTCATTAACTAGAAATATAAATTTAGAAAAACAATACTAGTAAAAATAACTGATAAAAAGGTGGACAAAGACATATAAAGATTAAAAAATAAATGATGTAACACTATGTAGACAACTATTTAAGTTGTATCTTGATTGTCCATCTACCTTTTACAGATTCACTAAATCATTTTTGTGTTTTCAAGAATAGGCACATTATACTCTTGATATGTCTACAAATCTAAGAAACGAGAAGGGGGGTTGGGGGAATAGAAATTTTTTACAAAGATAATAGATTGAATCGTGATATCTAGTATCAAACTATAAAAATACTCAAATTATAATAACAAGACAAATCACGTTATCTATAGCACCAAGTAATTCTTGTTTGGTTAAATGATTCATTGGTTATTAAATACTAAAGCCAAGTCTTGGATGCCATATATTTGCATCTACAATAGACGCAAATAAGCACAAATATATTATTGGAGTTGTAAATAATATATCAATATATTAAAATAATCATAGGAATAACAAATTAAATACCATATTGTGTATGTTCCAAGATATAGGCAAGATACATTATGAGGTATTATGGACACATCTAAGCCTTGAGAGCCTTTTTAATCTAGGTCATATTGTTGTGTCAAAAAGTATTTCACATTAGATTAGAAATCCAAGGTGTAGTATATAGCTCCCTATCATTAGATAGAGTTTAATATGGATTAAATTAACATAATCAATTAATGAAAACTAATATTATATTCCTTAAATTTAATATTAGCAATATAAATTATTGGGATGGCAAAGAAAGCCTTTGATTAAGACATCAGGAGAATTTGGATATCCCATCTCCAATTTATTTGAAAATCAAAGATACATCAAAGAGGAGGAAACAAATAGAAGAAAATGTAGAAATGACGGAGAGGGGCTTACAAATGATGTCTTCAATAACCCTCATGACTTGGTACCTCTTTCAAAATTATTTTCGAAACCACTACATCCACTGAAACATACCTCTATAAAATTAAAAAAAATATTAAATATCGATTGAATTTGAAGGAAATAAGAATGTAAATGGAGGTAGCTAATTACTTCTGTGAGCGGAGAAAGAATAGAAGACATCGGAGGTAGGTGTGATTCACCCACAACCTAATGAAATGGAAAACCAGGGCAATGTTAATTTGTGGAGATAGAGGAGGAGACAAGGAATATAGAAAGTATGCGAAGAGAGTAGGACGATAAGAAAGAAGCAATTCTTTGTAAAAAAAAAAATTATAAAGCCCTAGCCAGTTCTCTTAATGGACTGGGCCTGGATACTGTTTTTTTATTTTTGCTTTTTTTTATTTCATTTGGGCTTCTTTATCCATTTTTTCATAATTTTTTATAAAGGATCCTTAGGTTCTATCAAATTTATCTAAAAATATAAAAATTAAATTAAATTATATAACAAAGATAGAAATTTTTTATGTGAGTACTGTTATATAACACCAATGCTTCAATATATAATTCAGATACACCTTGTAGAAAATTAATATCACATATTAATTGCAATAATCAAGTGAATTATCAGTTTTCTATAACCTGCATAGAAAAATAGTGCAGGAACTCATGTAACACATGACAACTCTACTCGTCGTAAGTATATGAGTTTTAACAAGACGATTTCATACTTGCACATGTGTTTAAGGTCTTTGACCAAGCGTATAAAGGGAATCAGATGTTATTTAGGGTAATAAGGAAACTTTAACACCAAGAAAAAAAGTGCTTGTATCAACTATAATTTCACGAGTACATATAAGGTTAAACTTTGAACAACTATATCTCTTAGAATATTAACATTTAGGTGATCCATAACTTATCAAATTAAAGGGTTATGAGTCTTCTTTCCAAAGTTTCCAAGTTTGCATCAATCCAAGATGAGTAAAATGGTATGACTGATTTACGAGAGACACTCTAACCTGGCAAAAGTTCTGTGATGACTCTGTGACAAATAGTGAATATGTACCTCATTGTTTGCTAAAACAATAAAACCCTCTTATTCACTCCAAAATTTCTTGTCTCATGAAAGACGCGAAATACCAAGGGTAGGGTTCATCTTTTAAAAAATTTCTTCACTATTTGTCACTAAGGTATGTAAGACTTCAATAATAGTATTCTTTTCTCTCTCATGCCTAAACTATTTTCATATATAAGCAATTATGTTAAATATAGGGTTTTACCCAATATTTTTCAAGATATGTTTCTTATGAAAAAGTTCAAGTTTTTATCAATGATTTCATAAACATATTAATGAATAAGTTCAGGTTACGTGCCTTGAAAGTTTATCTCGAAAACTTAATTGTCTAAGATATCATAAATGACAAGTTTTGTAAAATATATGATAGGACATACTTTGTGCTATGAATTAAAAATAACATATAGAAAGAATAAAACCCAAATTATCAATTATCTTACAAAAACATATATACACAAAGATTTTATGATGATGCTAAAATCTTGTACTAAGTTATCATACATTATTAAAAAGTTTATTCCTTACGTTCTCATCTACATTAATAAATTGTATCATTTTGTCTTTATTTATCTCTTTTCACCTAAACTTGAAGCACTTGTTTGAACCATAAGTTTTTACATTTATATGTAAGGATCGGGTTTTGTCGTTATAGAAATGCTAATGGAGAAAAATTGGGACTGGAAAAACTTTTTTATGGTACTAGGAATTTTCCATCCTCGTCAAGATTTAGAGGAATTTAGAATTATCACGGTTTAAGGAAATTCGGTAGCAATCATACATATTAAATGTTTGTTTGATTACATAATCGGTTAGATAACTCATTAGAAAATCTGTGTGACTTTACGAAATTTAATTTGGATAAGTATATCATCGGGAATTTATTTTGGCGTTAAGGGAATTTTCTTAGCGTAGTTAGTTCAAATGTTGTTTTAAAAAGGGACGAGTTAAATTCCCTTAAGGAGCTCACTACCTCCCTTCGTGCCGCTACAACGGGTTTCATGTCGCTGCAGCGACGATGCTATAGCGGAAGGGGTGCCACTATAGCGGGCGAGGCAGAGATAGAATGAAAGAATTTTGGGATTTTTCAAGGGAAGCTCACTGGTTCACTTTGTGCTGCTGCATTGGGATTAGTGTCACTCCAACGACACTACTACAACGGGATGGGAGCCTCTGTAGTAGGATGATGGGTTTAAAATTTGTGAATAAAACCCTTACACGGCCTTATTTTGTACTTTTTGACTTTTTGAGCTAAGAGACGACTCTTGGGCTATTCCAAGTATATTTCCACCATTCATGAAGCTAGATGTAAGCTTTTTACTCCCTCAACTCATTTTTTGATAGAATGTTTGATAATGGGTCAATATTGATGGGAAAAGATTTTTCGAAGAATTCCATGGTGGAATTAACCTTAATTGACTAGTTTGTGTCATGGGTTTTGAACTAGGGTTCATAGATTGTAAGTTTTCAGGGAATTTAGTGTTTACTTACTAATTTCCGTATATAAATTGGTAATTGTATACCACGAACAATCATAACGAATCTGAAAAGGGAATGATCAAGTTGTCTAGAGTTTCAAGCTTATTTCGAGTAACAATATCCTTGACCCTTAACTATGTCCCAACATAGGTCTCTAGCTTAGTGGATCCGCCTAGATAGCTATGTACGAAAGACTACACCTTAGGCAAGTGATAACCCTCTCTTTTCTGTGTGGGAGTAGAACACCTATTCCATGTAGCTCTTATGGTCTCATGTCAATTAATTCAACCTTTTTCCTGATGTAAAAGTAGATGAATAAATGAAACGTATGCACTCTGACAAGGGCCTTCTTCAGGGGTTCTACATAGTGTGAGGGAGGGTATGTGACTTCTTTTACACATTGCACTTGTGGGATATGTGACTTCTTTTACACATTGCACGTGTGGGATCCTAAGAGATAGTTGTAGCAGTTTTCTTTTGTGATTATGTTTATTACAATTTATGTATGTTAAGCCATGTATGATCTTTTTGAATATGGCAAGTCATGATGAAATATAAGATTATGAATGAATGCATGAAGTAGCTTGCTTAATGTGATACTTAGATTTGTATAGCGTTATGGGATTATATTTTTTGCATTGCACAAGTATTGTTTGGGTTGCCTACATGTTGAGACGATATTATGTTGGGATGTATTATGATGCTTAACTTATGTGCACATTTGTTTTACTTGATAAAAAACATGTTTTGGCTAAAATGTTCTTTTATGAATGTTTCACTAGTTTTTATACATAAAGGTCATACTTAGTTCGTGTGATGTACCAACGCATATTTTATTCCCTTTTCCCAAACAATGTAGGTTCGGGGCATTTGAGGATCCAAGGCCATTTCTCAAGGATACTTGGAATTTTTATTCCAAGTTGGTGAGTCCTCAGGTCCGAGTACAAGACCCTTATGTCCTAGCTTTTAGTTCTTTGCTTATGTTAGAAGACGTTGTTGTATTTCCTATTTCTAGACTCCAAATGTTGTGACAAAGTTAGTTTTTATTTTCATATATAAAGCTAAGTTGAAATTCCAAAGAAAAAGTTTTAATTTTTCCTCATTTTTATTCTATGATACGTGCTATGATGTATGCTAAGGGCTTGTCTAAGACCTCTTCGGGGAAGAGGATGCCAGTTACGACTAGGGGGTGCTTTTCGGTCATATGATAAATTATTACATCAAACTCTTGATTAACATATTTTTTACTTCAATATAATTATCAAAATAATAAACATAACCAAAAAACTTTCAAACATAACAAAAAATAAAAATTAATCGTAAAATAATGACCGTATAAAACATACAAGGATATTTTTAATAATAAAATGAAACATAAGAGAAAACATCAAGTCCACAGAATGCACGATGTTCCCTTAATGAAATTATTTCATTCGAATGCCCGAGGTATAAAGGAGTAGATCCTCTCACGATAGAATGATTTTATTCTCTACTGTGTTGATTAGAAATAAAATAGTGTCAGTGAGTCACTCAACATGAGCAAAGTACACAAATATTTAATTGTGCAGAAGAAGAAGAAATTGAGGATTTTCATTGTTTTAAAATGAAAGAAAACCTCTCTATTTATAGACAACAAAGGGCATTGTGAAGAAATGTTTATTGTGTCTTATCGGAAAGGTCACAACTCATTGGAAAAATCACACTCTTTCATAAAAGTCATAATTTTTCATAGAAGTTGCAACTCTTCATAGAAGTAGCATCTCTTCATTAACGTTGCAACTCTTCGTAAAAGCCGCAACTTTGCATAAAGCCGCAACTTACATGAAAGTGAAGGCTAATTTTAAAAATAAATAAGTTAATAAGAGAATTCTAGTTTGTGGTGGCGCCACATAGGCGGATTTAGGGTTCTCTTTTATTTAAATTCTAGTCTTTACTCACATGCGTTGCACATATACCCTATCAATTTATATTGAGTTTTAAAAAGGAAACAAGTATTAAATATATAAATGAGATACAGTAGATTTTTTTTTTAAAAAAAAGAAAGAAATATACTCGTAAACTTAAAACAATGAATAATTTTACCCTATTATCAAATATAGATATGGGAATCATATAGTTATTCATTGGTTACTTGTATTACATATTTGCATGAATTTTAATTTTTTCAATTTAATTGTTACCATAAAAGTGAGATTCAACCTTATTATTTTAGTTTTTAACATAAAAGTGACATTACTACGTAGACTTTCAGAAAGGCAATGTCTCAACAATACTATAATATGTGTTGAAACTAAATACATTTCTTAAAGGATAAAAAAGTCTGTCAAAGAACAAACAAAAATTGAAATCCAAAGGTTAAAAATAGAAAGTATCACATAACATATAAAATTGAGCAATACCTCGCGAGTACATTTCAAACTTATTACAAATTCATCAAAAACAGATATAAAAAAAATTCAAGGGCACAACCTATTAACAAGACCACAAAAAAATAAAATGATAGTCGCGTAAACCTTTTCTAGTTTAGAAAGAAAGCACACTGAGGCTAAGCAAATCAAATACCATAAAATTAACAAAAGAAAAATGATACTCAAAGAATACATCAAAATCACTAAACATTAAGAAAGAAGAATTAAAAGCACATATCACGAAAAAAAACCACACAAAATTAACAAATTGTATTACAAATTATCAACACAATTTGACGAAAACAAGATCAAAAAATTGAAGAAAATATATTTAAATACAATTTAAACATTCAAGATTAAACAAATAAAGTAATAAAA